TTTTCCGGTCTGGCCCACCTCCCAGGTTCCCCTGAGGATGAGCAGGGGGCACATAGGGAGGGAGCAAGTTCTCAAGAGGGTCCTATGGCTTAGAATTAATTTCCGCCCTCTTCTCCTTGGGTTTGAGGGGGTACAAACTAGTCGTAACCGCCTGGATCCAGCAGTCAGCATATTCTGATTCCTCCTTTGAAAACGGGTTTTAATCTTCACATAGGTCACTAAAGTCAGGCACAGCCGTCCTTCATCTGATCCAAACTTGGGCCAGAAGATGGCTGGAGGCCTTATGCTCTCCTCAGTCCAAACAAAACAACAGTATTTCACCATTTTCTCCCTGGCCTTCCCAGGATTGTATGGCAGATCATCCCAATGAGACAACAACCGTCCCAGTGGACTAGGAGGGGCAATTTTCTGCGGGGTTTCCTCCCCCCCACCTTTCCCTTCCTCCTCCTTCCTTAGTTTCGCCTTAGAGTTTCCCATGGTCACTCTTCCCGAGGCCTCCCAGACCTCCAATCAGCCAGCAGTGGTTCGTCCCCGCAGACTCTGTGCTCGCCGATGACCCTTTTCTTTCCCGAGGCTTCCAAGCAGTCAATTGAGACACTGCTTCGTCCTTCTCCGGCCGTCCTCCTCGCGGAGGATAGGAACCGCGGATCCGGACTCCACACTCGCTCCGTACTCCTTTGTACGTCTCAATCACTCTCTCAAGCCTCACACAGGGGGTTCGTCCTCCTTCCCCGGAGGTTTCCTCCCCACAGTTCACCACCCAGGTAGTCCTGGGAGTCCCGCTCGCTTCTTACCTTGGTCCGTGCCTGACGACCACGGTGCTGGCTCCTATCCGTCGGTCCATCCCACCAACAGAGCCCCGTCCCAGCCGCTTCTCTTTGTCCCCGTATTATGTCCAAAATGTCAATGGGGCAGCACCCAGGTGATCCCTCCACCTGACCTAGGCCGCTGCAATCGGCAGGACGAGTCTCCCTGGTGCGGGCTGGAGAAATACTCACCTGGGACGAGCCCCCATCCCGGACGAGCCCCCAGTTGTAAGGAGTAAATCCCGGTAGTGACGATACGGAGGCGAAGTACCAAGCGGTCCAGTTGAATTCGTTCTTGCAAGAGCGGGCCCCGCCACACAGGCAGGGTGCCGTTTACACACAAGAGGTTGCTTTTTATTCCCTTTTCCCGGCTCACAGACCCTTCTTCTTTTCTCCCATTGGCTTCTACGAAGAAGTTGCAATCTTCTCCGTCCACCTACATCATACTACTCCTCGATATGTTCCCCCTCCTGCTCATACACCCCATGTTCATGCTAATGAGCCCATTACCTAGGAGAGGGGTGCCCGTTACTATTCATGAACCTATTAAGCGTACGCAGTACCTTCTAAAAGTTCAACAGGCCGGAGCGGCCTTGCAGCTTCTTACTCGACGCCAACTTGCTTCTTAAATATTGTGGGAGGATGAGCTAGGAAGAACAGCTTTTCCTCCAGGCTCATTACGGCCAGTTGTAAAAGGCAATCAATTTCCTGCTCTCCTCCACTGAAGGTAACAGTTTTACCACTGCCCCCCAATTTTACCCTCTCTGGTATTTTTCAGGACTTTGATGTAACAAACACTATTACTTTTAGTACGACTATTTGCATGGTTCTATCCTCAGGCCTTTTGGCCTTAAGGGCCTTCGATGATCCTACCCTAGCCCTGTATTTCACCCTTTCTTTGGTTTTCCCCTTACCACTTAGTAACAGTCATATTTCATTTCTCACATTCAGAACCTTGATGTGAGAAATACTATGCTACTCTTTCTCTTGTGCTCAAACTTAGCTATACTACATACTATTAGCCCACCTTTGTTTGCTTACAGTAGCAACTAATTCAACTCTGTCTACTTCCTTCTACTTCCTATTTACAAATGGCTCCTCACTCTGGCTTTTGGCAGTTCATCCTTGCCTCAGGTATCACCTTTCTGCTTAGTAACGGAAATCTTCCCTCTCTCACAAGGCCCCATAGGAAAAGCCCCGTAGCCCCTGTCCAGGCGGGAGCGGGGAGGCAAAGGGGACGATCCTGGTGGCCTCCTGGGACAAGTCAGTGGGATCTCCAAAGGAAGCGGATGGGGGGGGGACCTGAACCCGGGTTGAGAATCAAAGCAGCAAGAAGCATGATGAATTGGCGCAGAAACTTCGGGATGAGACACATGGGAAGAATAAAGGATCCTTTCTGTAAACTTGCAAAAGGAAAAGATTAACAGTATGTGAATGGATCCACCATGGATCTGGACATCATGCTTGTGACGTGGGGTATAGAATGTGTGTTTTCTATACCACTTGTGCAATCCTGATTGGGGACACCCAATTCCCCTCCATCTCCACGCATTCAGAAGTGCACTCGAATAAAATTGGTTTTGGCGCTAAGTTCTGTCTCAGGCTCCTGCTTGCTCCAGCTGTTTTCTGAGTCTGGGAACATCTGTGATCCTGAGAATTCCCAACATCTGGAAAACATCAGGACACACTGAAGGCTTGAGTGACAGGTGGCAAATAAAACCATCCGGAATTACAGAATTCTAGCAGGTTTCAATGGATCATTTTGGGTGGATTCATTCATTTACTTTTCTCCCATCCTATACAATCCATTTGTGCCAGGATGGCTTACAATCTAGACAAGCCATTAATTAATCTGGTGTTATTATATTCTCAGTTAATAATTAATAATTAATAATTCAGCTAAGCTATTAACTCAGTTAATTGTTAATTTACATTATGAATGAACAGAGAAAACCAGTGGATCATTAGAACAGCCTGGGGCTGACCCCCACCCCAGGAACTAGGAAGGAAAAACCTGCAAATGGGGATGGGGGAGGCCAGGCCAGGCAGCCCAATCTAAAAAGAAACGTCAAACAAGTGTCAGAAAATCCCGGAGTTTCAATTCGTGAGGTGGATATAAAACTCGGGTTAGTGGGAAAGATCAAGCATTCAGACCATCTGTGGCTTTATTGTTTGGCCCAGGTTCCCACGGTAAACTCACGATAATGCATTACCAGGCAGGCAGAGGTAAACTCGCTGCAAGGTTTGAAATACAACTACAAGGTATTTTATACCTTCCCAGTCACGTACACAGGTACAGAGCAATAGGTGACAGAAGGCAGAGATTACAATAAGATTCTGAGGTCATCTCATACAGAATAGATAAAGGAATGTCAGTCAATCATACAGTAACAATGAGATTACAATATTTCTAATGGCAGTGCATTGACACTTTAGTTGAGTAACTTGAACCCATCTCTGGGTCTGCTTAGACATGTAAATTTGAGCTACTGGGAAACGATGAATGGAGTAATAAGCTCATCTAGACTCAGAACCTAAGTAATGCATCCGCACCGCACCGTTCTGAATGGCCAGGGCACAAGGAGCCCTCTGGGCTAGCAAAAGACACTTCCTGGTAAACGGAATTCCAACAATGATGATTTAATCATTGTGAAGGTATATAATGTATATCTGGATTAAATGGCCTGTCTACTGTAGCTTACAGCTAAAGGTGAGAGAAAGGAGCGGGGGAGGAATGCCATTTTAAACAGGGACTTAGCTTGGAAAGCTGGTGCTTTTGAGAAAGAGTACAGGACTGATTCCACAATGCAAAAGCACACAGAAGCAATGTTTTTCTGACAGGATTTATCCAAATTTCATTTATTATGTATTTATTTAGAAGGCTTCCATGCCGCCCCATTCACCGAAGACTCGGGGCGGCTCACAATAATAAATAAATCAGAACAGTATAAAACAATATGAGTCAACCTGGCCCGAAAAATAAAATAAATAAATAGTATGAACAATTAAAATAGCGTTTGAATAAAAAGGTCTTCACCTGGCGCCAAAAAACAAATAACGACGGCGCCAGGCGGACCTCTCTGGGGAGCGCATTCCATAGGTGGGGCGCCACCGCAGAGAAGGCCCTCCTCTGGGTACCTCTGGGTACTCACCCTCCTAATTATTATTATTATTATTATTATTATTATAACATTTCTATGCCGCCCCTTGCCGAAACCTCGGGGCGGCTTACAACACGATAAAATACAATGAAATACAATAGCACATAATAAATTACCATTAAATACAAAGTACAAAAAAAATACATTGGTTTACAAATATAAGATTAACATTATCAGTATAACTTAAGTAAATAAAAATATAGGAGGAGAAAGAGAAGGAAGAAGAAGTTGCCCTGGCCAGATCATATGTTTTAACAATTCAAATGATGTTTAAGTAAAAAGGTCTTTACCTGGCGCTGAAAAACCAGTAACGACGGTGCCAGGCGGACCTCTTTGGGGAGTGAATTCCATAGGTTGGGCGCCACCGCAGAGAAAGCCCTCCTCCGAGTATTTACTCTCCTAATTTCTTTCGTGGAGGGTTCCCGGAGAAGGGACTCTCCCGCAGATCTCAAAGGGCGGTCGGGCATATACGGACGTAAGCGCTCGTTCAGGTAGCCAGGACCCAAGCCGTTTAATATCAATCACAGAGGGTTCCCGGAGCAGGGCCTCTCCCGCTGATCTCAGGGGTCGGCCGGGCGGGTGGGTGGGCATATATGGACACAAAAAAGGCATGGGGACAGTGGAGGAAAAAAACCAGCAGAGCTGTCAGCAGAGCTTGATTCAAGGCTTGCAAGGATGCTTGGAGAATAGCTTTGGTCGTGTGAATGCATTTATAGTGTACTGTGAGAGATGTCCTTGTAGAACGGCGAATTCCCCCTGGAGACCTCCATCGGAAGAGGGGAAGCCGCGCTGGCTGTACGTCATGTCCCAATCTGCAGCCCCCTTGACCGAAAGAACCATCTTCTCTGGACAAGACAACGTCTGGAGGCCCCAAAATGGCGGCTCCGGCGGACTACGGGCAAGGCGGCGGTGCGCCTACATTCCCCAGGGTGCCCCGCGACGGGCCCGGATTGGCCGCGCGCGGGACTCCGCCTCCCGTGGTGCCCCGCGCGAGCGCCGCCGCCTCCTCGCCGCGGCTGGGCTCGCGCCGCCGCCATTTTGTGCCACCCCTCCCCTCAGGTTTGAATGAGGAGCCGCAGCCGCCGCCGCCATGTCCTCCGCCGCCGCCGCTCCGCCTCCCGCCGTCCCGCCGGGCCCCCCGCGCTCGGGTGCGGCCGCCTCCTCCTCCTCGGCGGGGACTCCGCTGTCGCCGACGCGCCTGTCCCGCCTGCAGGAGAAGGAGGAGCTGCGGCACCTCAACGACCGCCTGGCCCACTACATCGAGCGCGTGCGTGCGCTGGAGCTCGAGAACGACCGGCTGCTGCTGCGCGTATCGGAGAAGGAGGAGGTGGTCACGCGCGAGGTGAGCGGGCGGGGCGGCCGACCCCGCCGGGGCGTTGTGTGGTGGGGGATGATGGGCTCGGTGGTCTTCCGGAAGGGCCTCCCTCGGGGGTGGGAGCAGGGCGGCCGGGTCGTCGGCTGTGCCCCGAGGGCCCCACCTCGCGGGGCTGTGGTTGCCCCGTTGCCAATGGCAGCACCCCAAAGTGGGGGGCCAGGGGGAGGCCCCGGGAAGAGTTGGCCAGAGGGAGGCGACCCAGGAAGACCCCACAGCGACCCTGTCCCAGAAGGGGTAAGAACAAAAGGGGCTTCGCGTGACCCACAGCTGACAAGCCGGCCTGACTTCCAATGCAGTATCGATTATTTATTTAGAATATTTTTTTACCCCGTCCTGTGCAATTCAGTTGTCTCGGGATGGCTTGCAATAGATTTGTTTCTTTAAAATAAGAGTCCCAGAACGGCTTACGATAATAAGAACAATAAAGAAACAACGTAGAATAAAATTTTAATTTTGTATTTGTAAATCAATGTCTTTTTTTGTATTTTTATATTTAATGGTAATTTATGATGTACTATTGTATTTCAATGTATTTTATCATGTTGTAAGCCGCCCCGAGGTTTCGGCAAGGGGCGGCATAGAAATATAATAGTAATAATAATAATAACAAAAGCCAACATGCGACTATAAATATATGAAAACCAAGTTAAAATTCCTCAATCCTTAAAATAATGGGTAAAGAAAAAGGTTTTCACCTGGCACCAAAAAGAATATAAAGTCCATGCCAGGCGGACCTCTCTGAGGAATGCATTCCACAGTTGCTCTTTTACATAAATATTATATATGTGTACACACACACACACACACACAAATAGAAAAAAAAATTTTAAATATAAAGAAACAATGCAGACAATCAAAGAATACAATAAGATGAAATGCTGCTGGGGATATCCAAGTTAATAAAAGCAGATTAAAATAATTTCAGCCTTAAAACGCCTGACCAATAAAAATGATTTCACCTGGTGCCATACAATACAGTAATCAAAGGGGCAGTGGAAACTGGTTATCACCACAGTGAAAGTTGGAAATGTGCAGGGAGTGAGGACATATGTGAATCTGGAGCAGATCAGAAATAGACGTGGGAAATACCTTGTTGTTATTGATTGTTTGTATTGATTGTTTATTTAGATGACATTGTAAGCCACGTGAGACAATTGGATTGTATAGGATGGGATAAAAATATTTGAAATGTCTGCTCCTTGACAGAAGAAAGGACACTTTGAAGCTAGCAGCAGGGGAGGGGGTGCATCAATTTTTGTATTGATGCATTAGGTGTGTATTAGGTGACCTAATTGCTTACCTAGGGTATAAAACGCATGTACCGGGGTGCAACTTTTGAGGCGCTACTTTGGTTTACCCTTGCTGTTAGTTTGTTTCTTTAGAATATGTTCATTCCGTCCTATACAATTGACTTGTAACAAGATAAAATGCGACTGAGAATATTAATATTAATAAAAGCAGATTAAAATTATTTCAACTTTAAAATGTTGAACAAATTAAAAGGTCTGGCTGCATTCGGGAACAGAACTCTCCCCAGTGCCTTCTCCCTGGAGCGAGTCCTGTGTGTGCACTGGCCTCCCTTGGGGCTCTTTGTGTATTCTCGTGTGTGTGTGCGCGCGCGCGCGGGGGGGGTGGGGGCAGCTCTTGCACCACCTTCAAGGCAGGCCAGTTATTCCCTGTTGGGGAAATGGGGGAGGTGGGAAAGGATGGGGGCTTCTCTGAGGATGAGGACCCATGTGAGGTAGGATGAGGACCCATGTGAGGTAGGATGAGGACAAGTGCGTGGCTGATGAGGGAGTCCTTGTGATGAGGGGTCCTCATGATGGGGGTTCTCATGATGGGGGTTCTCATGATGAGGGGAAAAGAGTAGCAAACGGCGATAATGGCCAGCAGACGTGCTCACTCGATGAAGCTTTGGCGGCGGAAGCAGCAAGTTCAATGATCACCCTGCAAATTTAGTGGGTCTTGAAGCCCCTCGGCCTCCTTGCCGTTTCAGATGAGACTCAGGCAAAGCCTCCAGTGCCCAGATGGAGGGTAAGAGCTGCCCTGGAGGGGCCAGACCTATATGCAAGGGATGGGAGGTGGTGGATCATGGGGGTGGTATGTCTTCCTCTGATGAGGGCATTCATACACCAAATACCTTTCTGGAAAAGCCTGGGCTGTCGCTTTCATGTCCCACGTGGTTTCTGCGTTTCATTTTTACTGCGCTTTGCAAGTGAAGAAGAAACATGCTTTGTGCTGTGAACTGAAATGAGGGAATCCTGCCTGAGCTTGGACACAACATAATTTCTGAGCGATTTCCCAACCTTGTCTTTGGGAAGGCTGGCTTTGTAATGGGCCCCTGCATCTCTGTATAGCTGACTATATCCTTGACCTTTTTATTTAACCATCATTTTAAGAATTAAGGATTTTAGATGTTTAAGTTAACAGTCGCATTTTTATTTTACGCATTTTTCTTTATGAATGTGATTTATTTATTTTTTGCTATTTATTGTTTTACCATTATTGCTGATTGTACTTTTAATATGGTTGTTGTTTTTAATGTTTGTAAGCCGTCCTGAGATGTTTTATTGGGAAGGATGGGATAAAAAATGTTTTAAATAAATAAATAAAATAAAAATAATCCGTGTATAACAAAACACTTCTGCACACTGCAGACCCTGCCTGATAACAGGGTGGTCTTTTGCTAAAGTTATAATTTTGTAAGTAGACATTTCAAAAGCCCAAAGTGTGTGTGCTAGGACACAGTGCACTTGCAACTCCAAGTGGCCATTACGCACCCATATTGCTGGGAATTAGACTATAATCAAAGAGGTAGTGGCACCCTCCTTGTGGTCCCAGGATCTCTGAGCATTTGGGGAATGTTGTCAGGAAGGGTATTTCCAGATGTTGTCAGGAAGGCTTCTCAGCAGTCTTCATGGCTTCCGGGTCCCTGAACAGTGTTTTGGACATTCCATTGAGTAGCCTGCTCAAAAATGAGAATTAATGTGTGATAAACAGGGCATAATGTTCAACCTTGCTTGATTCACTCCGGCTGAGGGGACTTCTTCAGGTGTCTGACTTGAAAGAATCCGAAGAAGAAAATTAACTGTAGGAAGGGAATAAAGTCGATAAGAACATTTGCTTCACAGTCTTGTGCATCTTACAGTGAACATAGACTATTCTATTTATATATCTAGAGATTGGCCAATGCAGTCGTAAAGCACAAGAATAACTGCTTGATCAGACTAAGGAAGATCGATCTTGTTCCGTATTTGTGCTCTTAACTGTGGCTTGCTACAACCAAGCATTAGGACACATCTCCCTTCAATGTGTTGATCTGTTCATTTCGTTTTTACTTTCCCCTCTCTCTGGTATTCCAAGTCTTTTAAGTACTTACCAGCCATAATAGAATCTTCTGATCTTCTTAATCTATGACATCTAGGTTGCTTAGAATTCTTTGTGGGAGATTTACTTATTATTTATTAGCAATATTTATACCCCATCTTTTAGAAGACATCCCAGGATGGCTTACAACTTTAAAACACTTAGCTCTGGAGGCCCCTTCTGACTCGCTCTGTTTCTATGTTTTGAGTATCCATATTATAGGCTATTCACCCAAATTGTCCCAAACCTTGCAAGTACAGATACCTTTCAAGACAAATTACAGATCTTTCCTCAATATTCTGTAATATACTTAACATTTTTAGCTCTGATGTTTTGTGTCCTGTTGCTCTGCCTTGGACAACAGATGACCTTGCTTAACTTCCCTTTTGTTAGGATCTCTCATGGCCTTGGCTTCCTTTCTTCCTGGTTTTAGTGAAGTGGCATGTTTTAGCTAGAAGATGAACCATTTCCAAGGGTTTCACTTTTGTGGCTCTTGCAATCTAATTTTCTGTTCATGTCTGTGCATGTTCTACTCTTCTTCTGTGTAACCTGCCTAAGAGCTAGGGACGCTTTCCATTTCATTGGCTAGCCTTGAATTGTGCCATGAGAACTTAACCCTAACCCTGCCTTTCAGGGTTGTTAGAACATTTATCAAGCTATTGTGTGACATGCTTTTCCTAAGTTGCCCAAAGATTTATGTGTAAATGCCAAGCATTGTTATTAAAGGGCCACAGACTTTCTAAAAAAAAGTAGCATATGCAAAGTGCCTTCACAACATGCACCAGACCTGAAGACATGTGGGTTTCCTTCTATTTTCAGCAATAATTGTGAACAAATTGTTCAGCACATCTGTATCGAGAGCATCCTACCTTTCACACAGTTTTGAGGCCTTTTTTGTCTGGCAGAAAGAATGAGGCATTGATGAGGAGGCTGGAAAGGCCCACTGCTGCTGCATGAGAACTTAAGAAGCTTCACCTTTTTCCTGTTGTGTCTTCTGCTTCTGTGTCGAGTGATGAGACAGAGGAAGGCTAAATGATAGCGGCCTCCTACCAGCTTTAAGAACTGTTTCACTTCTGGTGTCTTTGGCATGTCCAGCTCCCCAGAGGCCGCTTTTGGCACCTGATTCTTTTCTCATTGCAGGTGACTGGCATCAAGGCCCTCTATGAGTCGGAGCTGGCTGATGCCCGGAGAGTTCTCGATGAAACAGCCAGAGAGCGGGCAAAGCTCCAGATCGAAATCGGAAAACTGCGGGCGGAACTTGATGAGCTCTGTAAGAGGTAAGAGAAACTGTCCCATGCTGAGGGAACCCGTCTCAGTCAAGCAGGGCTGTAAAAGTCTTTTCGGTGTTTCCCAAGACCAGCTTGGCCCTCACTCTGCCTGACGTGCTCTGTCCTTGAGGGCCAGCTCTGATATAATGGCCTTCAACGTTCCGGATCGTGAGAGAGGAAAAAGCAGGCTAGCAGACTTGGCCTTGTATCTGTCATCTCAGTCCTTTTTCTTCAAGGCAGGGATGTTGGGCCTTAACTACATGCTATGCACATATATGGGTAACATGATTCCTAGCAGCTGAATTTTTTACAGCAGGGGCTGGGGATGGACTATTAGTCTAGGTGATCCCTGCTGGCCTGTGTTTCCCCACCTTCTTTGATCTGGGAGAAGGGATTTCAAACAAAAAACAGTTTAAAACTTTCCATCGATCTGGACCATTTTTCAGAGCAAGTGAGGGGAGGGCTAAAAATGAAAACTTACCCTTCTTCTACTGCTTTTAGGCTTCTTAGAAGTTTTCATTGTCACCTAAGAGCAGAGGTGGAGTTACATGGGGGCGTGTGAGTAGGTTCCAGGCAGCCTGTCAGCCCTTACATGCTTTGTTGCTGTTATGTGCTATCACAGGTTATCTTGGACTTACGGTAACTCTATGAATTAACGCCCTCCAAAATGTCCTGCCTGTGACAGTCCTGCTCAGCCCTTCTAGGTGCAAGTCTGTAGCTTCCTTTGTGGATTCAGCTGATCCCATAATTGAACTTCCCTTTCTTTTTCTACTGGCTTCAACTTTCCTTAACAAGATCGTCCAGTCCAGTGACTTACATACTCACCCATTACCAATTAAATCTTAACCTGGACAGGAAGAACGGTCCTTTCCCATGAAATTCTTTGTCCCCAATTTGTGTGGGATGCCTGGAGCAGGAGAAGTTGAGCCTCCTCCCTCTGTCTGGTCATCTGTTCCAACTTGCAAATACCCGGTAGAAGCTGTTTTTATTTGGTAATGTGGCTCTTGGCAAGGTTCTCTTTCAAAGTATCGGAATAATATGAGCTCAGTACACTTGGGTTCCAACTTCTGGCAACATTCAAACACTAAACTTTCAACATTAGAGACATTCAAAAAGAAACTGGACAGCCACCTGAGTGGGATGGCATAACGTGGTGTCCTGCAACAACAGGGGTAGGACTTGAAGGCCTTCATGACCCCTTCCAACTCTACTCTTCCCATGGGTCCTCAAACTATAGCCTGTGGGACGGATCTGCCCTGCCCTGCCCTGCCATGCCCATTCACCCGGCCGGTGCCGCCGCTGCCCCCCGCCCACACGCATGCTTGCCGCGTGGGTGGGAGGTGGTGGCTTGTTCACTCAGAGGTGGTTTTGGACTCGATGGGAGATCTCCCAGTGAGTTTAAAACCATCTCCAAGCAAGCAAGCCACCGCCTGCCTCCCCCATGCACGCACGCACGCTCGCTGCCGCCGTGCAGCGTGGGCTTGAGGAGGTGGCTTGCTCGCTCGGAGATGGTTTTGGACTCACTGGGAGATCTCCCAGCGAGTGAGCTGCCGCCACGCACATCCAGCGCCACCTTGGGCCGTGCTCCCTGGCCTCTCCTCACTGGCCCACACGTGTAGCCACCACCTTTCAACTGACCCCCTGTTGAAAAAGTTTGAGGACCCCTGATCTAGGGGGTTGTACTTGAATATGGTATGAAATGGCTAAGAAAAGCTGCTCAGCGTTTTAGAGCTGAAATTGCAATATACTGGGTTGTGATGGTATTTTGTTGCTGGGGTGGAAGTCTGCAGCTTTGTTGATGTTAATCTCTGTTCATTTAAAAGCCCTAAATGAGGATTTATTTAGTTACTTGAGCACTGAATGGCTTGCTGTTGTGACTGTATAAAAAACTGCTTTCAGCAGATCCACATTTTTAGCATACCAGGGCTCAAAAGCAATATAGGAGGAGAAATGCCAAATATCTCAGTCTGTGCCTTGCACTAGCTGGTGCATAGACCAAGTCAGGGCAGGGCAGAGAGGAAGGAGCTTTTCTGTTAGTCTCTTGCGTACTACATGTGTTAAACTACTGTGTGCCTATTTATTTATTTGTGAGATTTATGTCTCATATTTTTCTTACAAAGAACTCAGAGTGGCTTACATCCTCCTCCTTCTTTCAATTTTATTACAACGACTACCCTGCAAGGTAGGGCGGGGGGGGTGTGACTGACCTCAAGTCATCCCATTGGCCCCATGGTTGGGTGGGGATGAAAACCCAGACCAACCCCCCCCCCCAGTCCCAGCCCTGCACCACATTGGCTCTCACTCTTGCTTTGGTTGCTGCTGTAATGTAAAGTCCTTCTTTTATTTCTTTATTTCAAATATTTATATCCTGTTCTATATGTGGGCCATCTCAGAATGGCTGACAAGAACCAAAAAATCAGCCCATAGTCAAAACAACAATGAACAATAATTAAAAATGTACATGAAGCAAACAGAAAGATACTGCCATTGAGAACAAAATCCAAATCAAGATCAAAATTGAAACAAAACCAAAACACTACTTTGGATAATTAAAGACTGATTAAAATTCCTGGTTATTAAAATGACAGGCAAATAAAAAGATTTTCACCTGGCACTGAAAAGCGTATGAAGTTGATGCCAGGCAAACCTCTCTGGGGAACACATTCCAGAGTCTGGGCGCCACTGCAGAAAAGGCCCTCCTCTGGGTGGAGACCGTCTTTACCTCCTTCAGGAGGGTTCCTGGAGCAGATTCTCTCCTGCTGACCTTAAGGGGCACAAGGGCTTTTAGGGAAGGAGATGTTCCTTCAGGTATCCTGGTCCCAAGCCGTTCAGTGCTTTATAGGTTAGTACCAGCACCTTGAATTGGGCCCGGATTTCAATTGGAAGCCAGTAAAGCTGGTAGAGGACTTTACTCCCTTGGGTTCGTGAGCTGCAGATGTCTTGCAGTATGGAATGGATGGAGGCCCCTTCCCCTGCTGGCTTTGAGAGACTTCCTGGTGCCTGTGTGTACAGCTGGCACCCAGCCTGTGGAAGTGCCAGTCTGTGCAAGCAGCCATTCCCCCATTAAACCATGGTGGAAGGACCCTTTAGACCTGTTAGTTTCTGCTCACTGCCCTGGGAAGCAGCTGGGGATCCGCCACTCACATATGGTGGTGACTATCCCTTCACGGGAGAAAGACTGGAGGGCTCGGCTGAACAGCAAGTTTGAAATCCGTGAAATTTGGCTAAAGGGAGTTTGTGCTCAGCTTCTTTCTTACCAGTCCTTGAAACTGCTGCCACGTACTGGGAAGGAATTGTATCCGAATATTCAAAGATCTTTATAGTTTTACTTACAGTGGTACCTCAGCTCACGAACGCCTCAGTTCATGATCAAATTGGGTCGCAAACAAAAATTTCATAAAAATTTTGACTTGGGTCATGAACTCCGCATTAGGTGGAAACCATGATTGCGGCTGTCTCCCCCCCCCCCCCCCCCGAGTGGGAAGATGCCCGTGATTGTGCTGTGGACTGAAGAGAGATGGCTGAGATTGATTAATTAATTAATTAATCAAAACATTTCTATGCCGCCCCATTCGCCGAAGCCTCGGGGCGGCTCACAACATGAAATAAAATACAAAAATAACAATATAAAAATAACAATATAAAATAAATAACAATATAAAATAAGTCGCCCTGGCCAGATAAAATAAGCAAATACTGTTAACAATTAAAATGTCGCTTAAAGCGTATATTGCATCTGTCTTTCCTGCACGAGTGCAACTGGGAACTTGTCCATCTCCCCCCCCCCGAGTACACCTGTGATCACACCTGTCTCCACCCCCAGCATGCTGGGATGACGGGCGCGATCACGGTCGTGCTGGGGGCGTGGGGAGATGGCTGCGCTTGGGGCTGGGGTGGAATGCCATGATCCTTGTTGTTCGTTGTCACTTTGCTTCACATTTTTCTGATTAAAAAAATAGTTACAGAACGGATTAATCTTATTTACATTGAACCTTATGGGGAAATTTAACTTGGCTCACAACCAGTTTGGCTCACAACCAGGGTCCTGGCACGGATTAAGTTTGTGAGCTAAGGTACCACTGTATTTATTAAAAGCTTTTCTATCCTGTCCCCTACAGAACGTCTTGGGATGGCTTACAATAAGCAATAGTTAAATTTGTTGTTTATTTATTGTTCTTAGTATTGTCAGCTGTCCTGGGATGATTTCTGTGTAGGACAGAGTAAACATATTTTAAATAAATAATAAATACTGTCCTCAGTGTTTTTGTTTTTAATAATTTTTATTAGTAATTTTGTAATTAGATTTTTTTTTGTGCTGTAAAATAGAAGAGAAAAAAGAATGAATTATACAGTAAAACCTTGGATTGCGAGCAACTCGGTCTGGGAGTGTTTTGCAAGAAGAGGAACAAATTTTTCTAAATTTTAACTTGATAAACGAGCAATGTCTTGCAGTACAAGCATTATGTGCGCTTTGCCTGCTGAGCGTCAGGTCACAACTGAGCACTGGTTCTTCTCTCTCTTGTTGCGGGTGTGAGTAGAGCAAGGCCTCCCCCACCCTGAGTGATCCTGTGATTGCACCCACCCGAGCACCCGCGTCTCCCCCCGAGCTCGCCTGCTTCAAATGTTTGTGATTAAAAAAATAAGTTACAGAATGGATTAACCATATTTACACTGTGCCTTTGATATACAAGTGCTTTGAAATTTGCTTCGATATACAAGTGCTTTGGATTACAAGCATGTTTCCAGAACGAATTATGCTTACAATCCAAGGTTTTTCTGTATATGCATCTAGATTTCTGCATATCCATCGATACATATGAAATGCATAGCAAGAAAACCATCTAGCAATTACATGTAAACCTCAACAAAAGTAGATCAGATGTCCAAGTAAATATCCATTTGAAGACGGCATCTATACAGCACCTGTTCAGAGATTGGAAATGCTATAAGATCCTCAGTTCACTGCTTTACGAGAGGTCAATGTTTATTGTTCTAATTATGTAAGGTCAGTCTCCTGGCCTTCAAACGGGCTTGGAATGGAAGACCATATATGACTAAGTCTTTATAGCTGCATGCCACCTCCAGTGTCAGAGACCTTGTGCCTGTGTATTTATTTATTAGAATATTTGTAGCCCATCCTATACGAATCGTCTCTAGACGACTTATAGTATGATAAATATCCAATAAATACAATATATGGTTATATGGTTGCTGGGGAATTTGGGCATGAGGGTGCTGTTGCATTAATGTCCTGGACGGAGGTTCCTGTGGTTGGCCACTGTCTGGACTAGATAGACCCTGGGTCTGATTCAGCTTTAGGGCTTTTCTCAAGTTCTTCTGCTAAGAGTGCCAGTGGCAACAGGGACCAATCCGAGCTCCACACAACAGACCCTGAAGCCATTCGCTGTCACTCAGGAGGCATGGAGGCCTGTGCTGAGATTGCGTCCTTTTGTTTACCTAGCTATAAAAAGAAAGATGGTGAGTGGTCCACCTCTCAAGGCCGCATCAAGGAGCTGGAGGTCCTCTTCCATCGGAGTGAAGCCGAACTCACCACCACCCTGAGCGAGAAGCAGAACCTGGAGGCCGAAGTGGCCGACCTGCGGGGACAACTGGCTAAGGTATGTGTGTGGGTGAAGATCCTGCTGGAGCCCACTGGATCAAGTTAGCTGGATTGGCAGTCTGGGGGTGTTCCTTGAATCCTGGTCTGTCCCTGGAATATCAGGTGGACTCGGTGTCCAGGAGTGCCTTTTTCCAACTGTGGAGCATTTTCCAGCTCCCTAACCCTACCTAGACAGTGGGAAACTGAAGATAGTGGGACTGCCCTTGAAGATGGTCCGGCCATTGGAATTAGGACAGAAACGGACTTTTCAGTTGGTAACTGGTCCTGCCAGAGTGACCCAATAACACCAGTGCTGAAAGAACTTCACTGGCTCTTGGTTGTGGCCCGGGCCCAATCCAAGGTGCTTCTATTGACATAGAAAGCCCTCAGTGGCTTGGGTCTGGCTATCTAAAGGACCGCCTGCACCTATATATACTTCCTGCCTCCTTAGATCAGCCCTGGAGGCCCTTCTATGAGACCCACCCCTCAGGGAGATGAGGGGGTGGCAACTAGGTGCAGGGCCTTTTCCGCTGCTGCCCCCCATCTCTGGAACTCTCCCCCTAGGGAAATTTGCCTGGCGTCATCCCAATTTTCCTTTCAGCTCCAGGCAGAGAGATATTTTTTAGGAAAATTTTTAACATTTAGCCTGAATGCTGTGACCCTTTTAAACTGATTCTAGATGTATAATTCATTATGTTTTAATTGGTTCTTAATATGTTTTGACCCTGTTAGTATGTTTTGCATTGCAAGCCACCCAGGAAGGCCACGGCAGTTATCGGCGGCCTATAAATAGATGCAAATAAATAAAGTTTAAGTCCAGTTGGTTGGATTTTAAAGCAGCATCACAACAGCAGGGCTGCCAGATGTGTGGGACTCACATTCCCAACTGATGCAGCTGTGGACTTTGCCGGTTGAGGGATGCTGGGAGCTGGGGGATGCCAAGTGAAGAGAGGTAGTTCCACCATATTGGTCTTTTTTCAGTCAGTAAGCTGGAAGAATATATGCCATGTTTTTTACTTCAGATTTCTTGAGTGCAGAAATGCATTGGAAATGCAGCCTGAACATAGCACAGCCAGATGCCTTGAATGCACAGTTGGAGATTTCTAAGGTTACTTCAATCCCATGACTTCTGGAGGAACACAAAAACAGAAACCTGCAAATTCCTTTATTCAGCCTGTCTGCAAGAGAATTGTAGCTTCCTAGTTTATGTTACATAGAAAACAGAATGTACTTTCAATTCTATCTGAAATTGGTGTGTTGGCGTTACAAGAGGACTCCGAAGGTATCTTCTGAGGAGGCACCCATGTCTCCAGTGGGGTCACACACACAAAGCACCTACCCTGTTTCTCCGAAAATATGACCTAACAGGAAAATAAGCCTAGCGTGATTTTTCAGGATGCTCATAATATAAGCCCTACCCCAAATATAAGCCCCTGTTAAGATCATCAGCCAGATGGACACATTTAGGATGTCCGTTGCAACACACAATGGACGCAATGAGTTATAAAAGAATAATATGGATATAGAATTAAATAGAAAGATTGTCAGCCAGATGGATGCATTTAGGATGTCCCTTGCAACACAATTCGGGGTTTGGAGAGTTATGATGATGTTCCAGAAGAAGATGGTGTGACTGTATTTGAATAAATGTAGATTTGTTACATGAATAAATGTAAATTGTTGTGTATGAAAAAATAAGACATCACCTAAAAATAAGCCCTAGTGCATCTTTTGGAGCAAAAATTAATATAAGACCCCGTCTTATTTTTGGGGAAACATGGTAGTTATGCTCTCAACTTGATGGGGATCATGATTTATGTGAATGTACAAGTCTGCATAAACAACAGTAAGAATACTATTGCTTGCGAGTCCACACAGGTAGTCCTCTCATGATGTGTGGCAGCTGCCTGGTTCTTTCGTTCCCTTAACTTCAGCAGCCCAGCTGGTAGAAAACTCACTCAGCAGAGTTTGGCGTTTATAAAAATTGTCATAATCCGAAGAAAGAACTGAAATACTTCAGTAGTGATGATCCCGAATCAGTCATAGTCCGTGCTCCTTTTTTTCAGTTTTCCACTCACTGTCTTATGAGCTCTTCTGAAAAAACACACAGCTGTGTGTTGTGTGGTACTTGGAGGAACAGTTGCATTGTTGCTAGTTGCCAAGTTGTGTCTGACCCATCACGACCCCACGGGCAACATTCCTCCAGGCTTGTGGTTGTTTTGCATGTGGATATTTGTTAGTTTGGGGGCCATCTGCCGCAGTGTCAGCCTTGACATCCGCCACTGCCCAGGTGCTTTTTCTCAGCCCTTCACAGCTCCACCCCTATGAGAGACCTTGTCCCGTGGTGGCTCCTTGCCCTACCCTGGTGCTTGGAAGGAACGATCAGAGCAGCCCCATTATCTTGTTATACTGTGTTTCCCTGAAAATAAGACACTGTCTTACTTATTTTTTAAGCTCACAAAAACACACTAGATCTTATTTTCGGGGTAAGTCTTGCTTTTTTATTTTATTTTTTAATGAGTACAACAATCCACACTTAATCGTGTACAACAGCATGAATACTGTTGTACGTGAATCTGTGGAGGGAGCAGAGCTGCATAAGCCGATGCTTCCTCTGTAGCACCGGATCCTGTCACAGGCAGAGTGATACTGTAAGGAACAAAGTTTCCTGGACAAGACGAGACATGTAGTACTAAGCAGCAACAGTTTAATACTCTGGCCAGACCAGACACTCACCCCAAAGGTGGTGTACCGGAGGAGCAGTTTACACAGTCTTTTATTCCCTGCTTCTCGTGCAAAGTCCCTGCCGCCTTCCTCCCATTGGCTGGGGTACTAAGAGTTCCCATTCTTCTCCGCCTTCATCATACTACTCCTTGGTATGTTTCCCCCTTCTGCTCATATGTCCCATGTTCATGTTAATAACCCTCTACTAGGAGGTCCCATTAATATGCATTAGCTAATTACGCAGCCATACTTTGGATTCTAAGTTCAAAAGTTTAATGCCACATCTACCGATTACATCTTGTAGTGTATTATTTTGTGTTAGCACTAGTTTTATTATTAATCATTAAGTGATCTATAGCCTTAACCTTTCTAGTCTGTTAGTCACAGTAATTTTCTGCTTCTCACAATACCAAATGTACCCACTGAGGGAGCAGAGCTGCATAAGCATGTTTTCTCCACACAGTGCATTAAGTTAAAGTTAAGTTAAAAAATACAGTTTAAGAAGGCTCTTTATGTTCCCCACTGGCCCTGGAAATAAACACAGCTAGGTCTTATTTTTGGGGTAGGTCTTATATTTTAGCAAGTACCAAAAGTAGTACTAGGTCTTATTTTCAGGACAGGTCTTATTTTTAGGGAAACACAGTTGTATATTGTTTATATTTCTTGTTTGTTTATATTATATTGTAAACTGTCCTGAGACAATTGGTTTGTATAGGATGGGATACAAATGTTCTAAATAAATACATTTATTCAGTCATAGAATAGAAGAGTTGGAAGGGGCCATGAAGGCCATCAAGTCCAATCCCCCAGGATCATGGAATAGTGGAGTGGGAAGGGGCCGTGAAGGCCATCAAGTCCAACCCCCTGCTGTTGCAGGACACCACATTACACCATCCCACTCCGAGGGCTGTCCAGTTTCTCCTTGAATGTCCCCAGTGTGGGAGTGCCCCCCACCTCTCCAGGCAGCTGGTCCCACTGTTGTATTTCTCTGACCGTGAGGAAGCTTTTCCTGTTGTCCAGCCTGAATCTGGGTCATCACAACTTGAAATTATTATTCCGTGTCCTCCACTCTGGCATCAGCAAGAAGAGATCTTAAAATAAATAAATGGCAGGTGCCGTTTGCCAGGCTATCTGGCACATTTAAAAAGAAAGAAGAGTCATCTCCCATTATCTAGCCAGTATTGTGTTGACTTCTATATTGATCTGAGATGGGCGGTGCCTTTTTGGAGACGCTTGGGTTCTTTCTCCGGGGAGCACCATTGTTGATCTCCCCTCTTTACATGGGCCCATAAAAGCTGGGCATGAGGGGTGCCCAGACAGCTGGGGCTTGGGAGGACTTCGAGAGGGACAGGGCAATCCACACTGTGGCACCTGCCTTGCCTCCCTGCACAATCTGCCTTTTCCCCTCTCCCAGTCAGAAGATGCCCATACCGTGGCCAAAAAGCAGCTGGAGAAGGAGACCCTCATGCGGGTGGACCTGGAGAACCGCTGCCAGAGCCTGCAGGAGGAGCTGGACTTCAGGAAGAGCATTTTTGAGGAGGTAGGAGGGGCTGTCCTCACTTGCAGGGTGGGCTTTCTAATGGCGGTTGGTTTAACCGAGGGGGAGCACAGAGGCTGAACCCCAGGTGCCCTCTCCTAGACTGGGGACCTGGGAAATCTGGCTTCTACTCCCCACTTGGCCATTGTCATTGGGTGGCTTTGCTGAAGGAAAAAATTATTATTATTATTATTATAACATTTCTATGCCGCCCCTTGCCGAAACCTCGGGGCGGCTTACAACACGATAAAATACAATGAAATACAATAGCACATAATAAATTACCATTAAATACAAAGTACAAAAAATACATTGGTTTACAAATATAAGATTAAAATTATCAGTATAACTTAAGTAAATAAAAATATAGGAGGAGAAAGAGAAGGAAGAAGAAGTTGCCCTGGCCAGATCATATGTTTTAACAATTCAAATGATGTTTAAGTAAAAAGGTCTTTACCTGGCGCTGAAAAACCAGTAACGACGGTGCCAGGCGGACCTCTTTGGGGAGTGAATTCCATAGGTTGGGTGCCACCGCAGAGAAAGCCCTCCTCCGAGTACTTACTCTCCTAATTTCTTTCGTGGAGGGTTCCCGGAGAAGGGACTCTCCCGCAGATCTCAAAGGGCGGTCGGGCATATACGGACGTAAGCACTCGTTCAGGTAGCCAGGACCCAAGCCGTTTAGGGCTTTATAGGTCATAATCAACACCTTGAATTGGGCGCGGGCTTCAATGGGAAGCCAGTGAAGCTGACGGAGGACTGGAGTCATGTGAGCATAACGCCCCGTCCCCGTCAGCAACCTGGCAGCTCTATTTTGCACCAATTGAAGTGTTCGGACTGTCTGTTCGGGAAAAATGGATTCTCCCAAGGGAAAACAAGGTGAGATCTAAGAGCTGTGTGATAATGGCGGCATGCACAGAGAGAACTCGGTGTCCTTTGTTCCATCACAGCTCTTCTGGGGTTGTGTGTCTTGGGGAAAGGGAGGGATACAATGTGTGCTGAGCTTTTATTGACTCTTCTAGGCAGGCAACAGCACAGCAGCTGTTTGGTTTGGTGCCCAAACAGGCCCGGGAGGGAGTCCTACATTCTGCCAGCCAGCTGTTCTGCCTGCCTGCCAGGGCTTTGAAGGACAGAAGCAACAGGGCTTCCTTTGTCTCTTGGGACTCGAACTTACCTTCCATTGCCAGGAGGGAGACTTGTCCTTCTCTTTTCTCTCCTGTACTACAAGACCCTTTTATCCTCCTAGACAGAAACTCTGAAGAGGGCTCTTGACTTATTTGGTATTCCCTGCAAGGAGCCAAGCCACAAGAGCTTCTTGTATCCAGCTGAGATGCAAGAAACAGAGTCCCTCTGATAAACTCAGCCATATCACGTGGGCCGTGGCACATGCCAGAAAGGCAGGCTTAGTTCCTGGCAGCCACCATCCATTCAGCACAGTAGTCCTCCCCTGCCCACAGCACCCATCACCCCTGCCCCACATACGGCAACAAACTCTGCAGGGGAGGATGTGGTGCAGGGGTGATGGGTGCTGCAAGCAGGACTTCTGGGAGCTTGCAAAGAGGCTGTGCTCACGTGTGGTGCTTGACCAGCCTCAGAAATCAGGGGGGCTATTCAGGCTTTCTATGAACCTTCCAGGGCAGCGTCCCTCTCAGCAGCATTTCTTTCCCTGCAAGAGGGAAGGCAATATTCTTTGAAGCTTCCTCTCACCTGTTTTGCTGCCGCTGAAAGCTGCCTGTCAGCTGCAGGGACGTCACACTCCATAATGCTTCTTGATCTGGAATCACCTGAGCTGGGCTCTCCTCCCACAGGAAGTACGGGAGACGCGCAAGTGGCACGAGCGCCAGTTGGTGGAGGTGGACAGCAGCCGCCAGCAGGAGTATGAATCCAAGATTGCCCAGGCCCTGGAGGACCTGCGCAAGCAGCATGATGAGCAGGTCCACCTCTACAAGCAGGAACTTGAGCAGACCTATCAAGCCAAGGTGAGGGAGGGAGGGAGGGACAGACAGGGGCTTCTTGCTGGGGTGGCGTGGTCAAAGAGAAGTCCTTTGCAGGCTGAAAGGGCTAATTCCAGGGAAAGGAAGACCATGCTTTCCTGAAAAGAAGCCCTAACCAGAAAATCAGCCCTAGCATGATTTTTCAGGATACTGAGAATATAAGCCCAACCCCAAAAATAAACCCCAGTTAAGATCATCAGCGAGATGGACGCATTTAGGACATCCCTTGCAACCCATGACGGACGTGTTGAATTATAAATCAATAATATGAATATAGAATAAAATAGAAATTTTGTCAGCTAGACGGATGCGTTTAATATGTCCATTACAACCCATGACGGACGTATTGAATTATAAAGGACTAATATGGCTGTATAATTAAATATAATAATATGATTGACATGAATACTTCAATAATAATAGAAATTAAGATCAAGTATTTGTAAATACCCAAGTGGGCACCTTTGGATGAGAGATGAATGTCTTTGGATTGCACCCAAAAGGGGCTTCTCGATGGCATCTTTTCTAACTGAGGAAAGGTAATTAGTAGGGTACTGCAGGGTTCAATTCTGGAGCCAGTGCTCTTCAACATTTTTATGAATGAGCTGGGTGAACAGATTATCAAGTTCGATGATGACACTAACTTGGGTGGGAATCCCAGAGGACAGAAAGGAAAATGGAAGCTCTCTTGACAGGGTGGAGCACTGGGCTGGAAGCAACAGGATGGAATTTAATAGGGGCAGCTACCAAATTCTGCATCTAGGAAAAAGAAACCAAGTGCATAGTTACAAGCTCAGAGATACTTGGCTCAACAACACTGCAAGTGAGAAGAAACTTTATGTATTGGTTGATTTAAAACTTCTTTACTGTCCCATACTTAGAAGTCTCAGGTTTATTTATTTATTTTTACAGCAAATTTTACAGGTTTGCAGCAAATTAGTCCAAGCAAATAAAAATAATTAACAATTGCCCAGCATCCAAAGTTGAAATAGAAGCCCACCACTAAAACAAATTAATAATTAAAATACTGGGAGAATAAAAAGGGTTTTGCCTGATGCCTAAAGGATAGAAGTGTTGGCACCAGGCAGACCTCTCGGGAGTGTTTTCCACAATCAGGTTGCCACCGCAGAGAAGGCCCTGCTCCAGGGAGTCACCCTCTTGAGCTCTTTCAAGGAGGTCTCCTGGAGGAGGGCCTGTGACTCAGATTTCAAGGGGTGGGAGGGCATATAGGGGAGAAGGTGCTCCTTCAGGTATCCAAGACTCAAGCCATTTAGCGCTTCATAGGTCATCACAAGTACCTTGAATTGGGCCTGGACTTCAGTCAGTAGCCAGTGTAGATGATCGGGGGCCGGCGTTAAATGTGAACACCTGCCAGTCCCTGTTAATACCTTGGCAGCTCTGTTCTGAACCCATTGGAAGTATCCGGACTGTCTTCAAGGGTATTGTAGATCTCAAGCTGAATATACATCAGTCACATGATACAGCAACAGAAAGGCAAGTCCTCTTTAGCATGGCATTAATAGAAGTATCACTTCCAAATCACAAGAGGTGCTAGCTCAGGTTATGCCTCACCTTCTGTACTGTGACCAGTTTGGGCACCACCATTTAGGAATGGTGCAAACCAACCAGAGGAGGATCAACTGAGGGCAGCCTTGAGAAGGCTGAGGAGAAGTATGATAGCACTCTTCAGGGACTTGAAAAGGTACAGAGAGGAGGGCTGGGATGTCTTCTTGACCATCTGAGAGAGCAGGATCTAGAATAATGGATCTGAGTTACAGGACGCTAGAAGATGAGGGGAAAACACCAGCATGACAACAGAGCCGGTGCCTTGGAGCTATTCAAGATACGGTTAGACAGCCGGGGATGCTTCAACTTGGGAATTTGGCATTAAGAAGGAGGTCAGATGGAATGGCCTTATGGGCCCTTTCCAGTGTTCACCTTTTGTGATTTTTTCCCAGCTGGAGAATGCCCGGCTCTCCTCCGACCAAAACAGCAAGGCTGCCAGTGCTGCTCAGGAGGAGCTGAAGGAGGCCCGCATGAGGATCGAGTCCCTCAGCTACCAGCTCTCCGGCCTGCAGAAACAGGTGCCTCCTCTTTCTCACTGCTGTTTTCTGTGCCTGCCTCCGGCTCCACAGTTGCGGCACACGCTCTGGCCACTCTTGCCAGAAGAGGGTGGCTTCTGCCAAGTCCGCCCATCTGGGGCCACCTTGCTCAGGATTGCTTACTGGCAACTGCCCCGGAGCCTCAGGTGGGAATATTCTGTCTGCCGGGACCCATTCCCTGGGCTGTGGCAATGTTTCCCAATGCTGGTATAATCCACTGGGTGTTTCTGCACTGTCCTGCAAGTCCTTGGTCCCCTGCAAGAACAGGTTGGCTTGGTCCTGGGGCCCCAGCAGCTTTTCCTGCAAGACACCAGTGGTGGAAGTGCTCACAGAACCTTCAGGGAGGGCCCCATGGAGGCCAGCAGGGAAGGGGATCTCTGCTCTTCAGCCTGAGCACAGATCGTAAATAACAGGATCCCCCCCCCGCCCCACAATGCTCTGTTTGTGCTGCTGACTGGAGAAGATATGGGGCTGGCGAGCCAGTACCCCGGCAGGGGACCAGGCGTGGCAGCTTGCAGGCTTTCTCTAGCCAGCCTGGGTCTGCACAAAGAAGGCAAACCTCTGGCTGGGGTGCTGGCCGGAGGGGCTCTGCGTGGAGCTTTAACTTGAGATTGGATGGTGATGGGGCGGCCACCTCCCAGGTGTCATCTGCCACACCCCCATGTTATACAGCTCCCACACTATTTTCAAGCCCTTCTGCCCCCCCAGCCATTGGCTAGGATCCCGTTTGGCAATCTCTCCTGTAGACCAACGCTGCTGAAGAGCGGATCCGGGACCTGGAGGAGCTGATGGGGAGTGAGCGGGAGAAGCTGCGGAAGATGCTGGAGGTGAAGGAGCGGGAGATGACGGAGATGCAGGACCGGATGCAACAACAGCTGCTGGAGTACCAGGAACTGCTGGATGTCAAGCTGGCCCTGGACATGGAGATCAACGCTTACCGGAAGCTGTTGGAAGGAGAAGAAGAGAGGTAAGGGACACCAATATGGCGGGCTACCTGGTCAGGCAAAGCAGTGGTGACTCCTGGGAGGGCCCAAGGCCACCCCTGGAGACAGCCCTAAGCAGTTTTGCTGCATGTTCTAGGCATAGCTTCCCTTGTTAGAATCACCTGCGTTGGAATAAACACAAAGGCAATTGCTGCTGGGTTGGGGCACAGTCCTTTTTATCCCCCTGGATCATAGAATCATGGAAGAGTAGAATTGGAAGGGCCGTGAAGGTCATCAGGGCCAACCCTCTAGATCAGTGATGGCGAACCTTTTAGAGACCAAGTGTCCAAATTGCAACCCAAAACCCACTTATTTATCGCAAAGTGCCAACACTGCAATAAAATCTGAATATTGAGGTTTTAATTTAGAAAAAACAGCTCACAGCCAGTCCAAGCAAATATATATACAGTGGTACCTCGGCTCATGAACGCCTCAGTTCACGACCAAATCGGGTCGCAAACAAAATTTTCATGAAAATTTTGACTCAGGTCATGAACTCCACATTGGGTGGCAACTGCTATCGCTGCCATCTTTCCACCCCCCCCCCGAATGGGGAGGGGGAGATGGCCAAGATCATGGCTGTCTTTCCTGCATGAGCATGCCCGTGATTGCGCCCAACTTTCCTGCATCAGCGCAACTGTGGTCTTAGCCATCTCCCCCCGTCCAGCACGATCATGCCCATCTCCACCCCCCCACCGAGCACACCTGCCTTCATGCCCGTCTCTCCCCACCAGTGCACCCGTGATCGCGGCCATCTCCCCCCAGCGTGCCAGGATGACAGGCGTGCGCAGGGATGATGGGCGCGATTGTAGTCGTTCTGGTGGGGTGGGGGGATGGCTGTGCTTAGAGTTGGGAGGGAGATGGCTGGGATCTTTGTTGTTCTTTGTCACTTTGCTTCACATTTTTCTGATTTAAAAAAATATTTGCAGAATGGATTCATCTTATTTACATTGACCCTTATGGGGAACTTTAACGTGGCTCATGACCAAGTTGGGCCACGACCAGAGTCCTGGAATGGATTAAGTTTGTGAACCAAGGTCTATCCTTGGCAGTGCACTGACCAGCCATGCGAAAGCTCAAGACAATTCGCAGCTAATGAGTCATGGCCCGTGACATCATCGCCTCGCACCGCTGCTCCTTTCTGAGCATGCACATGGCCCCTATGTGTGGTGTTACCTGATGCTCAGCTGCTGGGGCGATGCTGTGGCGACTTGATTTGTGTGCTGACGGAGAGGGCTCTGCATGCCCGCTGCGGCACACATGCCACAGGTTCGGCACCACTGGCCTAGATCATAGAATCATGGGATGGTAGAGTGGGAAGGGGCCATGTAGGCCATTGAGTCCAACCCCCTGCTGCTGTGGGACACCACATTACACATTACATCTGCGGGCTGTCCAGTTTCCTTTTGAATGACTATTGTGGGAGAGCCCACCACCACTCTGGGCAGCTGGTTCTGCTGTCGTATTGCTCTGACCATGAGGAAGCTTTTCCTGATGTCCAGCCTGAATCTGGGTTGCTGCAACTTGAGTTGATTATTCTGTGTCCTACACTCTGGGATCAGCAAGAAGAGTTCTTGAGGAAGAAGAGATCTTCCTCTTTGTGACAGTCTTTGTGATCCTAGGGGGATCTCATGTCCCCCTCAGTCTTCTCTTCTCAAGACTGAACATGCCCAGTTCCCTAAGTCTGTCCTTGCAGGGCAGTGTTTCCAACCCCTGGATCGTTTTTGTTGCCCTTTCTAATTTCCCTGCATCTTTCTTCAATCTTGCTGCCCAGAACTGGACACAGGATCCAGGTGAGGTCTGACTGGTGAGGAATACAGAGGAACTACTCCTTCTCGTGATTTGGAAGTCATACTTCTGTTCATGTATCCCAAAAAAGCATTTGCCCTTTTGGCGGCTGCATCGCATTGTTGGCTCACGTTCAGCCAATTGTCCACAATTACTCCGAGATCTTTTTCTTGTTCAGTTCTGTTGAGCTGTGTACTCCCCATCTTGTATCATTGCCTTTGGTAAGGTATTCCCCATGTTGTATCGATGTATATTGGCTCTCATGGGTTCGAAAAACATAACTCTGGTTTTCTGGAAGGTTGAAGGACTTGCCCTAGGAGCCTGGACTGATGGTTGGCTCAGCACCGCTGCAGACAGCATGGGATGGGGTTGCTCCTCTTGGGAAGCAACTCTCACTCCTCCCACCGGGTCAGTGCCATCTGTCCTCTTCTCCTGCCACTCAAAGCCTGCCTTTCCCTGCCAGGCTGAAACTGTCTCCAAGCCCTCCACCCCACATCACTGTCTCGCGGGCCACCTCCTCCTCCAGTGGCGCCTCAGTCCCTCGCTTGTCCCGGGGGAAACGGAAGCGTGTCGATGCGGAGGAGCTCTCCGGCAGCATTTCCAGCGGGATCGGGACCAGCAGCAGCAGTGCAGGCAGCAGCTTCCAAATGAGCCAGCAGGCCTCAGCCAAAGGCAGCATCAGCATCGAAGAGGTGGATCCTGAAGGAAAGTATGTCCAGCTGAAGAACCATTCTGACAAGGTAGGTTTGTCTTCTCTGGAGATGGTGGAGTCCCATTGGACCTTTGCCGGCTGGACTCGTGGTAGCCAGTGTGGCCAGTGGTTTCCCTTTGTGCTTGTTCCTTGGGTGCTTATTGGACCCCACGTCTTGTTCCAGGATCAGTCTCTCGGGAATTGGAGACTGAAGAGGAAAATGGGGGATAGTGAGGAAATCGCTTACAAATTCACCCCCAAGTATGTTCTCCGAGCTGGGCAAACTGTCACGGTAAGTCATGGCTCTTTCTTTTGGGGCATGTAATTGACTGGGCGGTCTGCTGAGGTCTCGCCAAGGTTACTACTCAGTTGGCATCCCACTCAAATATGCTTTGCGATCCCCACTTGGACAACTAGGCACTGGTGGTCAGAGATCCACAATCCCTGTGGAAAACTCTGCACTGGCCTCGCCCCTTCCTGTGCCGGGAAAGGATCTGTCATTCCATATTAAGTGACGGATTCTCACTGTAGGGTGAGCTGGATGGGGCTTTTACCTGCCAGGGCAGGAGACCAGCCTTTGTTGAGCATGCCAGAGAAGTATGCCCCCCACAAGACTGCTTGGGGCAAGTGTGCTAATCTCATTTCCCAGATCTGGGCTGCTGACGCTGGAGTGACCCACAGCCCTCCCTCGGTCCTCGTGTGGAAGAACCAGAGCAGCTGGGGCACGGGTACCAGTATCTGCACTTACTTGGTGAACTCGGATGGAGAGGTATGCTCTGGTGTTGTGGGATGCAGAGAGGCAGGCACGGGTTCAGTAGGACTGGGAGGTTCTGGGGCAGCCCGAGACCAGAAGAGCAGCCCTTGGGGGTTGCAGGACTGGCCCAGTCAATCACAGCCACCTGGGATGTTACGAGCACCACCTGGGAGCTCTGAGGGAAGGGCTATAGCAGAACCGGCTCTTTCCTTCAGAGGTGGCCAGAGTAACAAGGGTCTCTGGTGTGGTTGGGGTGCTGTGTGCCTCCTGGGGGCTCTGCCCATCGCCTTGCCTGGGCCGTGCCCAGCTTCACCTGCTCCAGCTTCTGCTCCAATCCTGGGGATCCACTTCCCCTCGGCTTGTCTCCCTGGCTTTCCTCTCCTGACCGGCATTGACTGCTCTGCTCTGTTCGGATCAGCCTCCCTTGCACTTCTGTTCCCACCGTGATTTCCGGACTGCCTGACTCCAATTTGGACTGGGCCTGTCTATCGTGCCGGTTGTCTGGGTCCCGGTGTCCAGACCTGATCTCCAGCTGCCCGTGCCTGGACACTGACTTTTGTATCAGTGTGGAGGTAGAAAGGAGCACAGCTCCTTTGCTCTGCTGCAGATGGGTTACACAGGCTCTGCTCGGGCTTGTTGATGCCGGCGGCGTACAGAGGTGTGCAGAACATGGAGGGTTCCCACAGGAGCCAGAGAGAGGGAAATGCAGCTTTGTTGGCATTGGAAGGGAGACAGTCCCACCCGTGCTTATCTAGCTCTTTTGGGGCAGCCTGCGAAGTCGTCTTTAATACTTGAAATCTGCCCCCTATTCATAGCTGGGTGTGTTTTCCTTCCTCCTGAAAACTCTGACTTGTAGCATGTCACTCTTTGCCCTGTTGTGCCTTTTTGAAGATCGTTCGCTGACTCCTTCGAAGCTTTGAGACTCTCTGGTGTTTGGTGCAAAGAAATAACAGGGAAGTGCCTTGAAACGTCTGCCAGATGTGATGGACGTTTGTCTCAAGTGGCGCTTCATCTCCCCGTACCATTTAGGAAGTTGCAGTGAGAAGTTTGACCCAGTCCTCCACTCTGCTGCAGGAGAATGAGGAGGACGATGAGGCTGAGTTTGGCGAGGAAGACCTTTTCCACCAGCAGGTAGCTCAAGGAGGGTGGCTCACCTTGGGGGAGAGAAGGAAGCACCTTGTAAGGGGGAGCTGATCTCTGAAAAGAGAGAGATCCTGGGGGTAGTGCATAACCAAACATTTGAAAATGGAACGATGGAAAGGATGCCAGTGGTGAAGAGCCTGTCCAAAACCTTTATACAAGTCACCCAACATTTGTCGGGGTGTCTTACTTGGATCCAGAGCAAACCTGAACTGCTCAGATCCTTTTGAATAAAGATGCAGGCAAGCTGGAGAGGGTTCTGAGGCAGGCAGCACGGATGATCCCGGGCCTGGAGAAGAGATGAGTGCCTTCTCAGCCCTCTCTGAGTACTGGAAATGGATTGATGGACTCAAATTACAGGATGGCCAATTTTGGGGAGATACCAGGAAAATTTCCTGGCTGTTGGAGCAGTCCAGCAATGGAACCCAGGGCCTAGGGAGGTGGTGGGCTCTCTCTCAAGATGCAATGTAGACAGCCACCTGAGAGGGATGGTTTAACTTGCACGGAGCAGGGAGTGGGACTCAGTGGCCCTCTGGCCCCTCCAGTTCTATCACTCTGTGCTACTTCCTCAGTCTCTCTTTTTCTTCTTCCTTTAGGGGGACCCCAGGACAACCTCCCGAGGCTGTGCTGTCATGTGAGCTGAAGCCCACTGCCCAACCTTCCACCTCCTTCGCTCCCTCCTTTGCCCAGGAGCTCTGAAAACTATTTTTATACATCTGCTCTGATCCCTCCTTTTCCCTCTTCTTTTTGAAAATGGAAATCATGCTTTGGTACACTTTTTAAAGAGAGAACCTCCTCAGCCTGGTTTGGAGGGTTCGCCTGCTGCTTAGGGAGGCTGCTGGCCCTGGAAACCAAAGGCCAATGTGGTGTTGAGGGCTCCAGAACAACATGTTGCCTTGGGGAGGAAAGTATGCCTTAGATGCCTCCCCCCTGTGTGGAAGCTCTGGAACACATCGTGAGTTTCTACAGTGCGTGTCCCGTTGCATTGGTTCAACCAAAGGTTGGAGGTGGGAAAGAGCCCTGCTAATGCCAGAAACCCACAGCATCCTTGTTGGGCATCCTCCCAGCTTCTCTAGGAAAGGAGACCGCCCCCCCCCCCCCAGCCTCCCTCTGTTCCAAGAAGCCTCTGAAAGGGCTCGGGAAGATGCTGCAGGGCCCAGTTGTCCAGCCTGCCTTTCTCCTTAGCTTTTCCCTTCCAGCCACCTTGTTCCTTGGCAGAGAAGCGGCCTGGTAGGGAAGCGGCCCCTGCCCCTCAGATAATTGGGCATGCTGAAGCCCCTCGGTGGGACTAATTGTGCTTGGATAGACTTGATGCTGAGCTCCCTCCACATGCCACTGGTGTCCGGCTGTGCCCCAGAGACTGCTGGGCTGGAAATGGTGTGCTGGGGAGCAACATGCCGGTAGAGTCCTGGGAAGCTGCTTTGTGCAGATGGAAAGGAGAGCGGCTGCTTTGCAGCTCCTTAGAAAAGCATGGATTTGGGAGCACCAGGGGGGTGGTGATGGGGATCCTGACCTCCAGCCTTCCAGCTGTTTGCAAAGCCAAGCTTACCATGGCTTTACTCGCCCTGCTCAAAGCAAAGGAAACTGGATTTTGGGGATTATGGAGCAGATGTTAGCTGTAAGACTAAAACACTTTTTGTCAAAACTTGTCATGAGAATCTGGGCCCACACACCAGTGCATCCTGCGTGCTCTTGCCCTCCAAAGTTGGAAACATGTAAGATTTACAGATTCTTTGGTGTGATTGTTAAGAGTTGGTTTTTGCATCTTCCTCTCAAGGGTTGGCCATGAAGCTCACAGGATCCTTTTTTTTAAAGTCAAGAGTCAGTCCCAAGCTGTGTGGAAGGGCTGTTTGTAATACACATGAAGTCTGTTCACACCAGTAGGCAATGATTGCTGGAGAATCTTCCACCCTGTGACTCTCAGATGTCCGAGCTGCCTCCTTTGAGCAGCGTCCTGCTACAAGGCCCTGCTTCAAGCTTGTTCTGGTAATTGGGCTTTCCCTAAGTTGCAAGGCACGCCTTGATTATCAGTGGCATGCGTGCTTATTTGCATAGATCCTAAGAGATGGCTTTGGCAAAACAACCCACTAGTTCCCTAACCAGCTTAAAAACTCGATCTTAAAAGATGATCCGAATTCTAACAAACCTCCAGATTTTGGCAATGAGCAGGCCTTCAGCTCCTGTTTTGATTCCAAGCCTCCGTGGTCGTCCTCGGCTTCAGCTTGAGGACATTTCTTGTTTCTTGCCATGGTCACACATTCTGGTCAGAGGGAGAACATTGTCTCAAATTGTCACCAGTGGGGAGGGGATGTTTCCTGACTTTCCCCACAAGCTGGATGCAAGTCAAGGGACTGGGAAGGAAAAGTCAACCTTCATATTACAGAGTCAGTGGTGCTAATATTCCAGACACATTGATGCCATTCATGATCATTGTTGATGTAAAAATGTTTTAGAAGTTTGAATCTGTTGAGCCACTTGCGGAAAAGCCCTCAAAAAAAAAAAAAAGGGGGGGGGATGATGGGGTGAAGCATATGGATTTTCTTTTCCCATATTTTCTCCCCCACATGTTCTTTCAGTTTGGACTGTTGGGCTGAACGTGCTGTAGGTTGTGCTTATTTGGTCAGCTTCTAGGGCATCGGACCAAGACTGCTTGCTGCCCCTGAACATCCTTGCTGAGGAGGGAACATGCTTTTCCAAGGTGCTTCCTGGCCTCTGCCCCCCCTCGCAAACCCGGCAGCATCCTGTGATCTGGCCATACTGGCTGGTCAGATCCCTTCCCTGTGATCTCAAAGATGTGAATGTCCACAAATGCAGCCTGAGCCATCCCTGTTCCCTCGAGGCAGAAGAGTGGGGTCTTGGGTGTTCCGTGAAATCTGAGCCTGGAACCATCTCCTTTGGTGGATACCTGTAGGGCTCACAGTTGCTGATCCGGAATTCTGCCATGGACCGTTGCTTGGACGCGCTTTGAATTTTGCCTTTCCTTGTCCAGAGCTCGTTCCAGGGAGCCCCCAGCCCCACTGACTTCTGCAATGAAGGTGAGTGTCACCTGCCCCTTGACATTCCTCTTGGATTTTTCCGGGCTTCCTGGCTGAGCAGTGATGAGAACTAGAATGGCTTAAGTTACTTTCCTTTTCCCCATGAGACCCTCCCCCTATGGGGTCTGTGTTCCTGCTTTGGGGTAGGGACATACCCCAGAGGCCAAGCTGGATTGCAGACCAGCTGGGAGTCATTCTGCCGCCGAGCCTCAACTTTTGTTAATTGCTCAAGCTGAGAATCCCAAATGTTTGTTTCTGGCAGTTTGTTCTGCATCTTCAGTTCCTCATCCAGCTGTCTGACCTTCCTTCCGCCCGGTTCCTCATGGACTTGCTTGTTTCTGATGCAGGTTGGTCGCTTCTCATTCTGGGCCATGTCTTAAAAGTGCTGAGTGTCTTTAAAATGCCAAACTGACACTTCCCGTTCCCTCTCCTACAGAAAATCAGAATTAAACAGCTGCCCTCACCTTCCAAACAGAACTTCCAGCATTGGGAAGACTGATCTTGCTTATGTGAACCTTTTACCAGGGGGAAAGCTGTCGAATCGTTTCTTGCTCTTGCGTGAAACTCCCAGTTACATCATGCTGCACGGAAACTCTTCATTTCCTTTCTACTCCCATTAAATCTCTTAGGAGCTGATAGCTGGACCACATGTTGTAGGTTATTCACCAGCTCCTTCTCTCCCTGCCTCAGTCTCCCCGTTTCTTTGCCTGCCCCCAAACCATTTTCACTGAGCCCTGAGCAGCTGGGGGGAACGATTCACTGGGAGAGGGCTGTAACTGCTGATAGATGGCTAGCCATGACTGAAGAAACACAATTAAGCACGCCTACCTTCACACTCGGAAATAACAAAGCACTTCTTTTAAGCCCATATTTATGTACGATCATAGAAAAATGTCAGTGCTGCTTTGAGGTGCTTAAGTATAGAGAAGAAACTGCTAAAAAAAATCACATTTGGGAGGCTTCTGAGGTCCCCTCCAATCTCCACAGTGGTGGGGTTCCGGCAGCATCTTTTCTGCCTAGGTCTTGACTGGCTGCTGGACTTGGGTGATGCCCACCAGGCTGTTCCACCCTCATTTTGAGCAAGGGTCTTCCTGGGGACCCCCACACAGTCCCCAATTGAAACATGCTCCCTGCATGGTGGCACTCCAGAGAAACACAAATGTCTGATGACCTGCTGAGCCACCAAGTTCTCACAAGCAATAAGCGGTCTGAAACACAAAAGGACCAGGAACTTTATACAGATACGTTCCCTCCTTAGAACTCTATTTTTGTAGCTGTGAGTTGTTGCTTGCGTTACTTTTGGAGTTTAGAAATGGAGCAGTGGCATTTCTGAGCAATATGCAACCAGGAGGGGCTAGGGGGCTAGGTCTCGCAAAGTTTTGGTGCAACAGGCAGAGTCAGTTGGGAGAAAACTAATTGACAGACTTCCCCATTTCACTGTCCCTTCGCTTTATGATGGATATGCATGCCAAATGTCTTTTTCAATTATTTGTAATATACATTTTGGACTGGAAACATTTTGTACAAGACTCCAATAAATGTTTTGCATTTTTAGCAAGACTCACGTGTTACATGTGGGTAAGCGCTGTGCAGAATTCCAGACTTCTGAGGACACACCTCCTTCCGTCCTTCCTTCCTTCCTTCCTTTATTTGGACATTTCTAACCCATTCAATACAAAACATCTCTATTATGGCTTACGGAGTAATAAATATCCAATAATTACATTAACAATAACAAGATAAAATGCAACTGAGGATAAATAAGATCTGAATTAAAAATTTTAAAAAACTTTAAAATATTAAAAGGTTAAAGAACTTTAAAAGGTTCTTTAAGTGGGTTGCACATGATGGGCCAGCGGGTGTCCAAGTGTGAGGAAAATAGATTTCCGGGAGGCAAATAAGGCTGGTATTTCTAGCATATGTGGTAGCTCCATTTCTTACGAACTGCACAATGCCACTTGGATGAGACCACGTTTACTGGGGTGAAAAGGAGGGATTGATAAGAAAGTTCTCCAGTCCTTATTGTCGGTCAACGAGGCCCCCCCTCCCCATGTTGTGTAACATACAAACTCCACTTTGTTATCTGCTTTGTGCTTTCACCTGCTACTGATCCATAAGAGGACTTTCCCTCTTGTTCTGTGATGGCTAACTTTATTTTGGAAGGACCTGGACAGACTAGGAATTGGGCAGGAGACAACAGGATGGTATTCAGTGTGGATAAGTGCAAGGTCTTGCACGGGTCCTCAAACTTTTTTACCAGCAGGGCATGTGGGCCGGAGTAGAGGTGGGGCGTGTGGGTACTGAGGCTTTGGGGTGGGGTGAGGCAAGGTGGGGGTGGGCATGCACCACGATGCAGCAGCAGGCGTGCAGTGTGGGGAGGCGGTGGCTTGCTTGCTTGGCGATTGTTTTCTCCTAGTGAGTCCAAAATGATCTCATGAGCAAGCCACCACCTCGCTGCATGGGGGGGGGTGAGGTGGGTGGTGGCAGGCGAGGTGGGAGGCAGGTGCGTGGCCATGTGTGTGGCGTGCAGCCGGCGTGTTGAAAGCTTCTGAAGTGGGCTGGATAAATGGCCATGGCGGGCTGGATCTGACCCCTGGGCTGTAGTTTGAGGATCCATGGTCTTGCACTTGGGGCAGAGGAATGGGGGTCAGAAGTGCAGGTTAGGGGACAAGTGGCTGGAGAGCAGCACTTGTGAAAGGGACCTCGGGGTGCTGGTTGCCTGCAGGCTGAACATGAGCCAGCCGTGTGATGCGGTGGCCAAGAGGGTGAACGCCACCCTTGGTTGCATGGCCAGAAGTGTGCCTTCTAGATCAAGAGGGGTATTACTACCACTCTATATGACTCTGGTGCACCCGCAACTGGAGTATTGTGCGCAATTCTGGGCCCCTCATTGCAGAAAGGACACAGCCACGTTGGAGTCAGTGCAGCGCAGGGCCACCAGGTGGGTGGCCGGTTTGCAGGGGAAGCGGTATGAGGCGAGACTGAGGGAACTGGGTCTCTTCAGCCTGGAGAAGAGGAGACTCAGAGGGGATCTGTTGGCGACATGCAGGTATGTGAGGGGGTGTCACATGGAGGTGGGGAGAGACCTGCTCTCCCCTGCAGAGGAAGGCAGGACGCGCTCCAGGGGAACCAAGCTCAGGGAACCAAGGTTCATGGCCATTTATCTGGCCTGCCTCAGAGGTTTTCAATGTGCTGGCCATGTGCCATGCATGTGCCCGTGCAACTGTCCCCCCTCGCCCACCGTGGCCTGCCTCACCCCCCGTGCAGGGAGGTGGCGGTTTGCTCATGAGATATTTTTGGACTTGCTAGGAGAAAATCTCCAATTGAGCAAGCCACTACATCACATGCCTGGGCCTCGCCTCACCCTGCCTCCCCAAGCCTGTGCTCTTGGTTGGCACAATCTTTCCGGCCCGCAACCAGCACCAGCACCTTTCAACTGGCCCCCTGGTGAAATAGTTTGAGGACCCCTGCTCAAAGCAAGGCCAGGAGCTGGCTGTGGCTCAGATCATGAGATTCTTGTTGCAAAATTCAGGCTTAAATTGAAGAAAGGGAAAAGCACTAGGCCACTCTGGGATGACCTAAATCACATTCCTGATGAATATACAGTAGAGGTGACAAATAGATTTAAGGAATTAGATCTGATAGAGTGCCTGAAGAACTGGACAGAGGTTCGCAACATTGTACAAGAGGTAGCAACTAAAACCATCCCAAAGAAAAATGCAAGAAAGCAAAATGGCTATCCGAGAAAGCTTTACAAATAGCCAAGGAAAGAAGGGGAGCGAAAGGCCAAGGGAGAAAGAGAAAGGTGCGCCCAATTGAATGCAGAATTCCTAGCTAGGAGAGGAATGCGTTCTTCAATGAACAGTGCAAAGAAAGAAAAAAACAATGGAATAGGGAGGACTGGAGAGCTCTTCAAGAGAATTGGAGATATGAAGGGAACATTTCAGGCAAAGATGGGCATGATAAAGGACCAAAATGGCAGGAACCTAACAGGCAGAAGAGATTAAGAAGAGGTGGGAAGATTACACAGAACAACTATAAAAGATAGAGCTGAACCATGATAACCACAATGGGATGGTTACTGATCTCGAGCCAGACATCTTGGAATGTGAAGTCAAATGGGCCTTAGGAAGTCTGAGCAACAACAAAGCCAGTGGAGGTGACAGTATTCCAGCTGAGCTATTCAAAATCTTAAAAGATGATGCAGTAAAAGTGCTGCGCTCAATATGCCAGCAAATTTGGAAAAAACAGTGGTCACAGGATTGGAAAAGGTCAGTTTACATTCCAGTTCTAAAAGGCAATGCCAAAGAATGTTCAAACTACCACACCATTGCACTCAGTTCACATGCTAGCAAAGTTATGCTCCAAATCCTGCAAGCTAGGCTCCAGCAGTATGTGGACCGAGAACTACCAGAAGTACAGGCAGGGTTTCAAAGAGGGAGAGGAACTAGAGATCAAATTGCCAACATACGCTGGATCATGGAGAAAGCTAAGGAGTTCCAGAAAAACACCTGCTTCTGCTTCATTGACTGCTAAAGCCTTTGATTGAGTTTGGCAAGGCTGTATACTGTCGCCCAGCCTGTTTAACTTATATTCAGAGCACATCATGAGAAAGGCGGGGCTAGATGAATCACAAGTTGGAATTGAGATTGCCGGGAGAAATAACAACCTCTGATATGCAGATGATACCACTCTCATGGCAGAAAGTGAAGAGGAACTAAAGAGCCTCTTGATGGGGGTGAAAGAGGAGAGTGCAAAAGTTGGCTTGAGACTCAACATTAAGAAAACTAAGATCATGGCATCCAGTCCTCTCACTTCCTGGCAAATAGATGGGGAAGGAATGGAGGTAGTGACAGATTTTATTTTTCTGGGCTCCAAGATCACTGCAGATGGTCACTGCATCCAAGAAATTAAAGACACTTGCTCCTGGGGAGGAAAGCTATGGCTAATCTAGACAGCATAGTAAAGAGCAGAGACATCACCCTGCCAACAAAAGTGCACATAGTCAAGGCTATGGTCTTCCCAGTTGCAATGTATGGCTGTGAAAGCTGAACCATAAGGAAGGCTGAGCACCGAAGGATCGATGCCTTTGAATGGAGGAGAGTCCTGCGAATCCCTTGGACCGCAAGGCGATCAAACCGGTCAATCCTAGAGGAGATCAACCCTGAGTGCTCTTTAAAGGCCAGATCCTGAAGATGAAACTCAAATACTTTGGCCACCTAGTGAGAAGGAAGGACTCCCTGGAGAAGAGCCTAATGCTGGGAACAATAGATGGCAAAAGAAGGAGGAGATGGCAGAGAATGAGGTGGCTGGATGGAGGCACTGAAGCAGTCGGCCTGAGCTTGGGTGGACTCCAGCGGATGGTTGAGAACAGAAAGGTTCTCCATGGGGTCGCGATGGGTCGGACGTGACTTCACAACTAACAACAACAGTAAGAGTACTAATGCGGAAAAGAAGTATGGCTTCGGAATGATACAGACGTGATTAACGAACCTCCGTTATCACGCTGGTAACTGCCCGGTGGTGGGCCGTGGGGCTCAATCTAAGCTCTGTAGGAGATAGATTACTTGGCAAATCCCCCAGATGATGTGGAATGGCAATTCCACATTTAGTGGGGGAAATCAAGCCTTCTCAGCCGGGTAGTACCGGAGGGAGAGCTGCCCTCTCAAATTCTCGACATACTACCTTTTTTTAGTTTTGTTTCAGCTTTTGTGAACACATCAGATCTATTGGAACGTATTTTTGTTTCTTTTCTCTGCAATGATACCTGTGGAATAAGCTGTATTTCTTGTTAATTAAACCCTTCAGATGGAGGGGGAATGAAACCTCCCCCCCCCCCCACAGTGCTGAAAAGTGGCAAATTGCATAACGGAGAGAAAGACAGAACTTTTTGTAAGTAAGGAAAAGATTTATCTTCTTTTATCTCTCCAAGGGCGAATAATTGTGCTGTGGAACTGAGTAATAGAGAATCTTTTATTCATCTGTGTTGTACTACTGCCAAGAATTGGCAACCATTTTTCTCTTTGTTCCTGGGATCCTTGGACACCTGCCAAGCTTTGCTAATCTACTGCTACTATGGAAGAAATACGGAAGGCATTTCTCAAAATACAGGCTTCTTTATCAGCTGTGCAACTATCCCAGCAGGTGATTATAGTACGACAGAAGATTGTTTTAGAGCAAATTGATTGTTTTTTAATTGAACAAAAAAGTGGTTTTGATAAATTAGTCACTTCTATTGATCAGGCTTTAGATAAGCAACTCTCACCTGAACAGAATATGCAAAATATCCAACAAGCAGAAGGAAAATCTGAAACTGGAAAGAAAATAAGTGCAACTGATCTGCATGTTATAATGGAGAAGGAGAAGACAGCTTGGCCACAACTCAAGACACATGATCTATTGTAGACATTACGAAGTAAGCTTCCATGGGATCTGCATGTCATCTTACAGAAGGACAATTTAGCTGACCACTTAAAAGAGGTTATGTTTATGTGGCTGCAGCTGAAGACTCCATTACAGACATAACGGTGGTTTAATGGGGAAAAAAACCAGAA